CAACTAATATTCGACAAAGGAGGAAAGACTATCCACTGGAAGAAAGACAGTCTCTTCAATAAATGGTGCTGGGAAAATTGGACATCCACATGCAGAAGAATGAAACTAGACCACTCTCTTGCACCATACACAAAGATAAACTCAAAACGGATGAAAGATCTTAATGTGAGACAAGAGTCCAACAAAATCCTAGAGGAGAACACAGGCAACACCCTTTTAGAATTCGGTCACAGTAACTTCTTGCAAGATATATCTACGAAGGCAAAAGAAACAAGAGCAAAAATGAACTATTGGGACTTCATCAAGATAAGAAGCTTTTGCACAGCAAAAGATAGTCCACACGCATTCCTGGAAAGCCACAAACTACCAAAACTGGAACAGGAAGAAATAGAAAACCTGAACAGGCCAATAACCAGGGAGGAAATTGAAGCAGTCATCAAAGACCTCCCATCAAGACTCCACAGAGTCCAGGGCCAGATGGCTTCCCAGGGGAATTCTATCAAACGTTTAAAGAAGAAATCATACCTATTCTACTAAAGCTGTTTGGAAAGATAGAAAGAGATGGAGTACTTCCAAATTCATTCTATGAGGCCAGCATCACCTTAATTCCAAAACCAGACAAAGACCCCACCAAAAAGGAGAATTACAGACCAATATTCCTGATGAACATGGATGCAAAAATTCTCAACAAGATACTAGCCAATAGGATCCAACAACACATTAAGAAAATTATTCACCATGACCAAGTAGGATTTATCCCCGGGACACAAGGCTGGTTCAACACTCGTAAAACAATCAATGTGATTCATCATATCAGCAAAAGAAAAACCAAGAACCACATGATCCTCTCATTAGATGCAGAGAAAGCATTTGACAAAATACAGCATCCATTCCTGATCAAAACTCTTCAGAGTGTAGGGATAGAGGGAACATTCCTCGACATCTTAAAAGCCATCTACGAAAAGCCCACAGCAAATATCATTCTCAATGGGGAAGCACTGGGAGCCTTTCCCCTAAGATCAGGAACAAGACAGGGATGTCCACTCTCACCACTGCTATTCAACATAGTACTGGAAGTCGAAGCCTCAGCAATCAGACAGCAAAAAGACATTAAAGGCATTCAAATTGGCAAAGAAGAAGTCAAACTCTCCCTCTTCGCTGATGACATGATACTCTACATAGAAAACCCAAAAGCCTCCACCCCAAGATTGCTAGAACTCATACAGCAATTTGGTAGTGTGGCAGGATACAAAATCAATGCCCAGAAATCAGTGGCATTTCTATACACTAACAATGAGACTGAAGAAAGAGAAATTAAGGAGTCAAGCCCATTTACAATTGCACCCAAAAGCATAAGATACCTAGGAATAAAGCTAACCAAAGAGGTAAAGGATCTATACCCTAAAAAGTACAGAACACTTCTGAAAGAAATTGAGGAAGACACAAAGAGATGGAAAAATATTCCATGCTCATGGATTGGCAGAATTAATATTGTGAAAATGTCCATGTTACCCAGGGCAATTTACATGTTTAATGCAATCCCTATCAAAATACCATGGACTTTCTTCAGAGAGTTAGAACAAATTATTTTAAGATTTGTGTGGAATCAGAAAAGACCCCGAATAGCCAGGGGAATTTTAAAAAAGAAAACCATAGCTGGGGGCATCACAATGCCAGATATCAGGTTGTACTACAAAGCTGTGGTCATCAAGACAGTGTGGTACTGGCACAAAAACAGACACATAGATAATTGGAACAGAATAGAGAATCCAGAAGTGGACCCTGAACTTTATGGTCAACTAATATTCGATAAAGGAGGAAAGACTATCCACTGGAAGAAAGACAGTCTCTTCAATAAATGGTGCTGGGAAAATTGGACATCCACATGCAGAAGAATGAAACTGGACCACTCTCTTGCACCATACACAAAGATAAACTCAAAATGGATGAAAGATCTTAATGTGAGACAAGAGTCCATCAAAATCCTAGAGGAGAACACAGGCAACACCCTTTTTGAACTTGGCCACAGTAACTTCTTGCAAGATATATCCACGAAGGCAAAAGAAACAAAAGCAAAAATGAACTATTGGGACTTCATCAAGATAAGAAGCTTTTGCACAGCAAAGGATACAGTCAACAAAACTCAAAGACAACCTACAGAATGGGAGAAGATATTTGCAAATGACGTATCAGATAAAGGGCTAGTTTCCAAGATCTATAAAGAACTTCTTAAACTCAACAGCAAAGAAACAAACAATCCAATCATGAAATGGGCAAAAGACATGGAGAGAAATCTCACAGAGGAAGACATAGACATGGCCAACAAGCACATGAGAAAATGCTGTGCATCACTTGCCATCAGGGAAATACAAATCAAAACCACGATGAGATACCACCTCACACCAGTGAGAATGGGGAAAATTAACAAGGCAGGAAACCACAAATGTTGGAGAGGATGCGGAGAAAAGGGAACCCTCTTACACTGCTGGTGGGAATGTGAACTGGCGCAGCCACTTTGGAAAACTGTGTGGAGGTTCCTCAAAGAGTTAAAAATAGACCTGCCCTACGACCCAGCAATTGCACTGCTAGGGATTTACCCCAAAGATTCAGATGCAATGAAACACCGGGACACCTGCACCCCGATGTTTCTAGCAGCAATGTCCACGATAGCCAAACTGTGGAAGGAGCCTCGGTGTCCATTGAAAGATGAATGGACAAAGAAGATGTGGTCTATGTATAAATGGAATATTACTCAGCCATTAGAAATGACAAATACCCAGCATTTGCTTCGAACTGGAGGGTATTATGCTGAGTGAAATAAGTCAATCGGACAAGGACAAACATTATATGGTCTCATTCATTTGGGGAATATAAAAAATAGTGAAAGGGAATAAAGGGGAAAGGAGAAAAAATGAGTGGGAAATATCAGAAAGGGATACAGAACATGAGAGACTCCTAACTCTGGGAAACGAACTAGGGGTGGTGGAAGGGGAGGTGGGCAGGGGGTGTGGGTGAATGGGTGACGGGCACTGAGGGGGGCACTTGATGGGATGAGCACTGGGTGTTATGCTATATGTTGGCAAATTGAACTCCAATAATTAAAAAAAAAATCACCTTTTGAGGGGCACCCGGGTGGCTCAGTGGCTGAGCATCCGTCTTTGGCTCAGCTTTTGATCTCAGGGTCCTGGGATGGAGTCCCACATCAGGCTCCCCATGGGGAGGCTGATTCTTCTTCTGCCTCTCTCTGTGTGTCTCTCATGAATAAATAAATAAATCTCAAAATAAATAAATAAAATCACCTTTTGAGATGAGCCACAAGTTAGATTTCTCTCTTATTCTTCATCTTGATGAAAAGATTGTGCTGAGTCCTGTAAATGGTAGGTGGAAAGGAGTGAAAAGACATCTAGGTTCTTATTTTAGCTCATTTATCAACTTCTGAGATCACTGACACATCTCTCAATCATGGGTGTGGATTTTGCATTCGATGAGCCCTCAAGTCACTTGCAAAGATAACATGAACAGGATGGTCTCAAGCCCACCCTCACATGTGAAGAAGTCACATGTTTTTTGGAAGTCATCACAAGTTTCCTAGTTTTTGGAAGTCATCACAAGTCTCCTAGTTTTTTGGAAGTCATCACAAGTCTCCTAGTTTTTCTCCTCAGAATTCTTTCTATGGTACCTTTAGTTCTATGGATGGCAGATGTGACAAGTGGATAAAAACAAAACAAAACAAAACAACAACAAAAAAACACTCACAAACAATTGGTTTGATAGATCCATCTTTAATTTTGTCATTCTCCGGTTTTCTTACTATGGTTCCTTTTAAAGGAAAAAAAAAAAAGAAGCCTTGGAGAAAATATGTCAAAAGAGGCCCTAGGACTATACATACCACATTCCAAGAAAAGATCCAAAAAAGGATTTGTACCTGGAGTGGATTCTGGGATGAAATGTTTTGTGTATTTATATCTGTTGTGATAAAAGGACTACTCTGCTTTTTTCTCTAAAGATACATGAAGAAAAATTCTTTGTGGGATGCCTGGGTGGCTCAGTCAGTTAAGCATAGGACTCTTGGTTTGGCTCAGGTCATGATATCAGGGTTGTTGGATCGAGCCTTGCATGGGGCTCTGTGCTCAGAAGGGAGCCTGCTTGAGATTCTCTCCTTCTCCTTCTCCTTCTACCTCCCCCTGCTCTCTCTCTCTCTCTCTCTCTCCTTAAAATAAATGAATAAATCTTTAAAAAAATTATTTTCCCCACATACTAGTCTCTTATGTTTAAAAGTTGATCACGGTACCCACTGACCAAAACAAAACAAAACAAAACAAAACAAAACAAAAAACTTATAAGCAACTTCTCTTACAAAATCAAGCTTGCTAACAGGTCTTGGTGTGGTAAGTCAGGATTGTCATTTCCATATTCAGGAAGTGCAAAGAAGCTAGGTTTTAGAGAGTGACTCATTATTACTCAGAAAGGCTGAGGTAGAGGGAAGGTGAGAAGCTTCCACTCATCAGGAAAATCTGATGTGTCAGGCCTCACTACTATCGTAGGCTGGTAAAATATACTTTATGAGGTGTCTCTGCCTCAAGCATAGGACACAGAACTTAGGACCTGCCTTGGAGATACTAAAGGAGCAAATACGACCAAGGTTGGTGAAATCTGGATTTAAAGCAGGCGGCTATTGGTTGAGTTACTGATACAAGCAGTGTCCATAGTTCAGGTCTTATATTTCGAGTATTCACCTTCAAAATAAGAATGTTTGGAGTCTCATACATATTGCCTTTTATGGTTCTGTGCTGATGAAAAAGACACTGCTCTTTAAGGAGTGAAAGTTTTAATCTTGGACTTGCTTCTTACTGAGTGATACTGCACACCCTAAGGCACTCTCTGAGCCTCGCTTTCCTCAGGGTAGGGGTGGAAAATGGCAAAGTCCCCTCATATATTTCCCAAGGGTTGGTGATGTTGAATTAGAGGCAGAGGCAAAGAAGTACTTACTGCAAACAGAATCCAGGAACCTGGGTTTTAATAAGTCAATCGATTTGAAATAATCAACCGTCTCAGAGGACTATATCATGTATTTCTGAATTGAACAAAACTATACTTATTGGGACAGTCAGTGTGGTCTTGTTGGGAACAAGTAAAGCAGCTTAAATGCATTTAGGCAGGTACTATCTCAGTGACAAAGGAACTATAATAATCAAATTATTTTTATAAGTTGATTTCAATACAAATTGGTCCAAATGGCATCCCAGGATTAGAAGTCTAAGAATCTCCGTCTTACTTTTTAAGAGGGTTGGAACAGAGGGGCACCTGGCTGGCTCAGTCAGTGAAGCAGGTGAGTTTGAACCACCGCTCACCTCAATCACATTCATATACCTAAATTCAGGGTAAGGAGTGTGCCTCAAATAATTGAGGATTCAGATAGTCATGGCTTCTCTCTATTATTTTTGGCCACAGCATTTTGCTGATGGGATTTAGAACACCACTCTATTTGAAGGTTACAAATCCTTATTTATCAAATGAAGCCAATAACCAGGTGAACCAAAATTAAATGTCCCCAAGCCATCATTTTTCATTTGTGAGGAAGGCTGCCTTTATTGGAGTGCACAGGCTGTAAGTCATAAAAGCCTTGCTTCCTACAGAAGCCCCACCAATTTCTTCACCTCCTGGCACACAGGATGGGCTAATTCCCTGGCTTTTGCTGACCCAACCTGTAAGACCTTCTCTAAGTGGCCCCTGTCTGTCTTAAGTTTTTCAATTTCACTCTTAATTGGAGCAAATTTCTGAATCACGGCATCGGCCACCAGCAACTTGTAGCGAGCAGTGTCCAGGCCTGCGCTGTGTTGGAGTGCTTCCTCCACAGGGACACCGACCACTGCTGCGTGAATGGCCACCAGGTTAGAGACCCCGGCTCGCCGGGCTGGTTCGTAGGTCACCTCTGATGTGAAGTCTGTCACAGCCTTGCGGAATTTCTGCACGATCTCCTCTGGACTGTCTGTTATCCTGACGGTGGCCAGTTTATCAGGGTCCGATTTTGACATCTTGGCAGAAGGGTCACGGAGAGATTTCACCTTCTTCATGGATGCTAGGGAAAGATGCCAACATACACACACCAAAACCCAAACCAGAAGACAATTACAAAATAAGAAAACATCACACCAGGAATGTCAGGGTCTAGATCTTAAAAAGTGTTAAGAGGACCACATGACTTTATTATTATAAATGAGTATGGCTGACACAAAGTGTTACACCGATAGCAGTGTTTAACACAGTGATTTGGCAAACTTTTACATTATGCTATGTTCACAAGTGTGTAACTACCATGTGTCCCCTACAACGCTATTGCCATATCTGACTATATTCCTCATACTGTGTCTTTCTTCTCTGTGACTTCTTCATTCCATAACTGGAAGTCCATACTTCCCCCTTCCCTTCATCCATTTTGCCTACCTCCTTTTGCTTTCCCTCTGCAACCATCAGTTTGTTCTCTGTATTTATAAGTCTGATGTTGCCTTTTGTTTATTCATTTTTTTTAAGATTCCATTTATGAATGAAATCATATGGTATTTGTCTTTCTCGGTCTGACTTATCTCACTTAGCATGATACCCTCTAGGTCCACCCACATGGTGGGTGACACAATTCAATGACACAATTTCATCCTTTTTTATGGTCGAGCAGCATCCATTATATATAAATACCACATCTCCCTATGCATCACCCAATGATGGGCAGTTGGGTTCCTTCCATGTCTTGGCTATTATAAATAATGCTGCAGTAAACACAGGGGTGCATATATCTTTTTGAATTAGTGTTTTCATTTTCTTTGCATAAATACCCAAGAGTGTAATTATTGAATCATATGATATTTCTATTTTTAATTTTTTGAGGAACCTCCACACTGTTTTCCACCATGGCTGCACCAGTTTGCATTCCCGCCATTAGGGCACAAGGGTTCCTTTCTCTCCACATCCTCACCAACACTTGTTATTTCTTGCTACATGACTTTATTATTTTTATATGATTATATATATAAATAGCAGATTTATGAAAAATTCAAGCCATATATATATATATATATGCATGAAAATAAAGATCACCTGAAATATGTAATAAAACTGTTAACATTTGATTGATCACATTTTCATGCATCTTTTAATGCATATATGAACATAAAATTTATAATCTTCACAAATGAAATTGTATCAGTCATACTGTATTAGCCATGCATGCCTTTTTAAAAAGTCTGGTCTATTTCTTTCCTCTTCCTCTCTCTTACCTCTCTGCTCATCCCTATTAGCTAATCACCCTCTGCCCACAACCACTGCTCTTCCTGCCCCTAACAAATTTTAACAATCTGTGGCAATCCCTTCATTTCTTTATCCATAGTTGTGTAAGTATACAGTAACACTCACACACACATGCACACACACAGAAGTGACTTGGTTATTGCTGTGATAGAATCAAGATGTTAAGCTGTGCTTTATAAATCAGTGTTATTAATAATTGCCTATTTTATGGCTATTGCAGAAACATATCAAGTTGAAATAGGTAAAATACTAATAGGCAAAAACATTAAAATATTACTTATTGCTAAAAGAGGCTTGATTTTCAATGCAAGGAAGGCCTATTTTTTGTTTGTGTGAACCACTGGAATAGCTTAGAAATTCATACTTGCCTTGTGCGGCTGAACCATTACTGGGTCCAGTATCAGTTATACTGGGTCCAGTATACTGTTATACTCCTATAAAATGCTGTCAGCTTATTAAAGATGGACAGGGCTTAGGCTCAGTGATCTCTGCCCCTGCCACAAATCTACATTGCTATCAAAATGTTGATACAGATGCACAGATTCTTTCCTCAAGAAGATTCCAAACTAGTATAGCCTCATAGATGCTGGTGAGGTTTCAGATCCAGTGGGGGGATTGTCTATTCCATCAACGTTGTGCATTTAAGAAGGAAGAGTGTGAAAATGATCAATTTCCTCTTGTTTTTTCTAGCTCATTATTCAGCAGTTTCTCTCTCTTATGGTTTTCTTTTCTTGTGAAGGTCAACTGGCTTTGGAATCAGAAGAGCTTTGCCACTAACTTGATATATGACTTAGATGCAAAATTAGCCTTGCCAAGTCTTAGTTTCCCCATTCATAAAATAGGGAAGGATATATATAGAGAGAGAACATATAATCCATTATAAAGTATTATATATCTTAATATATTAATATATAACATGAAAGTCATGCATTAATTTATTAATATATAATCAAAGTATAACATAATTTGCTAAATATATATAATTGGTAAATTATATAATGATTTATAATGAAAATGATTATTCATTTTTAGTCTTTCTCATATATACATTTCAATATAAAGTATTATATAATTTACCAAATATATATGTATATATATAAGTATTATGTAATTTAGTGAATTCAACTATTTTTCATTGTTAGTCTTCCCATATGTTTCAATATAAAGTATTATATAATTTATATATTATGTAACTTAATGAATTTGATTATTTTTCATTTTTAGTCTTTCCCATACTTTTCAAATTTTTTTGGCCATTTTATTCAATAATCTAACGAGGTCTACCTATCCCACATTATAGAGAAAGATGAGAGATTCTAGTTCCAGATTCTGAAGCCTATCCACAAGAAAGCCAAGTTTGGTCCCAAGGACATCCCAAGCCTCAGTCCATTATCCAGTCCTGTCTTGGAAACCTAGCCTGATTCAAGAGTCCTATGTTTGTTACTTACTTAGAATGGACCTGGGCACGGGGAAGACCTCTCCATACTTCTTATTAAACCCTTGTGCTAGATCCTGAACGAGCTCCATGTGCTGGACTTGATCCTCCCCGACAGGAACGTGTGTGGACCTTTAATAAAAGACAGAAAAACTCAGCAAGGCTTCTGCTTATACTGAAATGATATTGCAAGCAGCTGCATTTCCTGTGCCTATTTCACTGTTGGTGTTCAACAAATGTTCACCAACTACAGAGGGGATGTTGAGACCCAAGTCTTTATCTATGTATCAGACAAATGCCAAAGAGACATTTGTCTACTGTAGTTCTGTTTCTTCCATAGCAGAGGAATACAGCCATCAACACCAATGTGACAGGATCTTGCTGGGAGGGAGGAATGGTATCTTAAATAGCATATGCTCTAAGCATAATTGTATTTTAAAACCACTCTTCATTCCCTTACCCAGTCAGTACATATTATTCTAGCCTTGACCAGATGCTTTTTACTTCAGAGCTTGTGCTCACACTTGAAAGCCACTCCACCCCACTCTTCAAATAAAAGATGGCAGAAAGTTCTTCAGGCAAGAGTTTTTTCCTCCCTGTCATACAGGGAGTAACAAGATCTTTCTGGAATATGCTCCTTCGTCTTCCGTACATGGCAATCACAGCACAATTAATATGCTGCAGGGAATTTAAAAGAAATGAACATATCTATTGGTACAATGTAGACAGATCTCAAAAACAATGTTGAATGAAAAAAATCAAGTTGTAGAAAGCATGTAGAGTACACTGCCTCATAAATCTGAAAAGTATGTATGAAAATATATTGTTTACAGTTGCATATATAAATATCATAACATACTGGAAGCCCCTCCACAAATCCATGACTGTAGCTGCCTCCAGAAGAGGAGGGAAGGGAATAGGTCAGGGAAAAAGAACAAAAGAGACCTGAATTTTCTCCTATAATATTTTATTGAAAGATAAATATGTGAGACAAAAACATCAGAACATGGGAGCTTTATTTATAGTTATTTTAATCCCACATATAAAAGTTGCAGTGTTGGATCACTATGAGATATATCAAACAAGGGTAGAATTAACCATTACAGAGAAGTCTTGTTTTTTTTTTTTTAAGATTTTATTTATTTATTCATGAGAGACACAGAGAAAGTGGCAGAGACATAGGCAGAGGGAGAAGCAGGCCTCATGCAGGGAGCCTGATGTGGGACTCGATCCCAGGACTGGGGGATCATGCCCTGAGCCAAAGGTAGACGCTCAACCACTGAGCCACCCAGGAGTCCCTGCAGAGAAGTCTTGAAGAGAAAAACTTTATTTCTGGGGAGAGAGATAGTTGTATATTGTGAGTGGAAAAATAACAGCTTTTCGAAACAGCCCCAGAAAAGGACAATTATTATTTTGTTGTTGTTGTTATAGAGAGGAAAACCTACCCCAGTGGTTAAGTAATGGTTCTCAAAAAACCAGTGGAGATCTTATTTCCCCTCTGAATTACTGTCTGCAGGCTACTGGTCAACTTAATAAAGCTGCCTACATATAGACTAGCTATTTTTTTTTAAGATTTTATTTATCTATTCATGAGAGACAGATAGATAGAGAGTGAGAGAGAGAGAGAGAGGCAGGGACACAGGCAGAGGGAGAAGCAGGTTCCATACAGGGAGCCCAACATGGGACTCGATCCTGGATCTCCGGGATCTGCCCTGGGCTGAAGGCAGCGCTAAACGGCTGAGCCACCTGAGCTGCCCTAGACTAAGTATTTTAATATAGTAAAACACTGCAGAACATTTTGAAAAAACTTGCAATATCCTTCATTATTTTGTAATTATTTTTATTTTTGCAAAGTGCTTTCCAGTCTTTGTTCTTGTCTATGTGGATGCATATTTTTTACTAACTGCAGTAAAATATGCATACCATCTTTTATGTTAACATGTTTCTATGTGGTCTTCATAGCTTCTATGTGAACTTTCTAATAGCTGCACAAGAACATCCCTGTCCTATAGTTTCAGAAGCATAAGGAATTTATATGATTTTATTGCAGATTCTTTTGAATAATCATATAGGGGGAAATTTTGACTCAAGTGAAACAAGTAAAAAAAATATTTTTTACAATAACTCAGAAATCCTGTGGAGATGAATCTGGTGAATGCACGTTTGGTACTTTCTGGTCAAAAGCAGGTTATAATTATTAGCTAATGAAAATAATATTTGTGTTCTAAAACAATTCTGACTATATTTCCAAAAGAAATGCTGATAAATGTTTAAGTTTAGAGTAAGCAATAGGTTTGAAAGCAACTCTTTGACACTTTTGCATGGAAGTAACACATTTTATTTATTAAAAAAAAAATCTCTGAACACTAGTAATGTCCCTGCTGTGTGTGTGTGTGTGTGTGAGAGAGAGAGAGAGAGAGAGAGAGAGAGAGAGAGAGAGAGAGAGAAAGAGAAAGAGAAGAAAGAGAAAGAGAAAGAGAAGAGAAAGAGAAAGAGCGATGCAGTATAGCACTCATTTTAGAGCACAGGCTTTGGAGATAGGCTTTATTTTTTTTATTTTTTATTTATTTATTTATTTATTTTTTGTATTTTAAACTCAGATGATATTTTATTTTTTTAATAGTAAATTTATTTTTTATTGGTGTTCAATTTGCCAACATACAGAATAACACCCAGTGCTCATCCCATCAAGTGCCCCCCTCAGTGCCCGTCACCCATTCACCCCCACCCCCTGCCCTCCTCCCCTTCCACCACCCCTAGTTCATTTTCCAGAGTTAGGAGTCTTCATGTTCTGTCTCCCTTTCTGATATTTCCTACCCATTTCTTCTCCCTTCCCTTCTATTCCCTTTCGCGGGGATAGGCTTTAAATCCTGACTCTGCCACTCTCGCTTTGTGTGACTTTGGGTAAATTAAATTGGGAATATTTACCCCATATTGTTGCTGTGGAGATGAAATGAGACAATTCATGTATAGTGTTTAGCACGGTATCTAAAATCTGGTAAACTTTCAAATTATGGTAGCTATGTAGGGAATATAATTCTAAAATGGTATATTATACTTCAGAAATGTGTTCAAAAGGCACCTGGGTGGCCCAGTCAGTTAAGTATCCAATCTTTTTTTTTTTTTTAAGATTTATTTATTTATTTATTTGAGAGTAAGAGAGGGCACGAGCATGAGCAGGAGATGGGCAAAAGGAGAGAATCTTCAAGCAGACACTCCACTGAACAAGGAGCCCAAGGCAGGGCTCGACCTCATGACCTGACCTGAAACCAAGAATGGAGACCTAACCAACCATCACCTGGGTACCCCAAGCATCTGACTCTTGATCTCAGCTCAGGTCTTGATCTCAGGGTTGTGAGTTCAGGCCAAAAAAAAAAAAAAAAAGGTGCATAAGATGCAATGTCCATGCAACTAGAGGTTCACTCATTACCTGACTCTGATTCCAACTTCTCTGTAGCTTGGCCCCAAAGAGGAACAGTTTGTGGGGGGTGGGGGAAGCCCACGATCATCTATTTGGCAAAGTGGAAAATTAAGACCTGATGAATATTTATTTACCTATGTGTAAATTTACTCTTACAAGAGAGTAAAAAAGAAACAGAATCAACATCAACAGAGAGCAATATGTTGGCTTATTTTTCCCCCTCTGTCCCCTAAATGTTGATATTCTAAAAACATTGGCTCTCTGGTTCTCTCCCACCACTGGAGTGCTCATCAGCTTTCATATGGGGATCTACATGTCCCTTCCCCTCTGATGATCCTAGGGCTCCGTCTCTAGCTCTGCTAACTCTCTGAAGGGTTGGGATTGTATCTCTGCTTTCCTGCTAAATATTGGAATTAGATATCCCCTATTTACTCCCAAACTCAACAGTGAAGAATCAACATTCTGGGTTGGAACTGTAATCCGAGATAATCTATCTCAATTTCTTACTAAAATACCCATGAAGACAAAGAAAATATAAACAACTGAAAACTAGAAGCAAGAGTCAAAACTAAAGACAATTTGAGAAGAACTTTTCGTGAACTGTGAAGATCAGCAGAGCTGAATGAAAAAAACCACTGGTTGAGCTTCTTGTATTGTGGAGTTAGAGCAAGTGCCCCTGTTGCTGGAAACCCATCCCAGCTGGAGATGAGGGCACATCCCAGCAGCCAGGGTCCCTCCAAGTGGCCAGGGTGACACTGACCCTTCTCTCTTCATCAGCCTGATTCTTTAGACATTGGTTCCTGGCAACAGAAGGTAGCCACACAGGCATTGGAAGCAGCAGGGGCTGGTCACAGGGCATACCATCCTCACAAGAATGGGAACAAGAGCTCTGTGAGAGCAGGGATTTGTTTGTCTCGCCCACTGCCCTATCTACGACCCAGAACATATTCTGGCTCGGGATGGATGACACTCAAGGAATAGGTGTCAAACGAAAAAGCAAAGTGTGGAAGGCGAGGGCCTGAGCAGGATGCGACGATGACATGGGAGCAGGGCAATCCGGTGACTGCTCTTTATCATGTAATACCTCTGTTCTGAGAGTGAGAGAGTCGGACAGGTAGCAGGAGAAACACCTCAGACCAGTGGTCCTAACCTAGCTGACTGGTACCTGCACTTGGACACACCACTCTGCCCTCCTGGTAGATTCTGGGCAGGGACTTCAACTAGTATCTAAGTAGACAGAAGGTGCACACAAAGGCATTTCGTAGATTCTGTCTACTGGCAGAATAATGATTTGAAAACTGCTTGTTCTGATATGGATTTTAAAAACCCAACATAAAAAATAAAGCAAACAGGTAAAAGAGCCCAATATGGGGTCGATGAAAAAATACTGTGAAACAAAGGAAGGGGAACTTTACCCTTTAGACTCTGAGGAAGATCAGGCGCCTATAAAAGTTCATTTTACAGGAACCTGAATGTTTTGTTTTGTATTTTAAAGAAAATTGCTTGGTTACCTCAATAGGATTCAAAAAGGCATGGCTGTCACAATAGAAAAGCAAGAAGCCACAAAATGAAGAAAAACATAGTTGGTGACAGAAAACTGATAAAATGAAAAGAAAGTGAGTCGAGGAAATAAAGAAAACCAAACACAAAATAGAAGAATCAGGAGCAGTAAGGAGTGAAATCCAAGGGACAGGTCATATCAGTGATGTGG